TGAGGGAGAGAGGCAGTGGAGTAAGTGAACAGAGGGAGGCGGTGGAGCAATTCAGCAAAGGGGTGGAAAGCAGCGAATGTTCGTGACAATGTACGTTTGATGAAGTGACTGGAATGGACGAAGAACAAGGGTGTGAGGGGGATGATGAGCGAGAGAGAGAGAGAGACAGAGAGAGAGAGGGAGAGTGTGTGTGTGAGAGAGAGAGAGAGAGAGAGAGAGAGAGAGAGAGAGTGTGTGTGTCAATAAGTTCTTGGGTGCATGGGTGAGTAGTTGTTTCCGTTCTGGGTTGCATGATCATGGAGAGACTGAGCGAGTGAGTGAATGAGCAAGTGGCGTGAGAATGAGCAAGTGGAATGGGCGGAGCACAGGCTATGAGCCAGGGGAGTGGCTAAGTGAAATGAGCAGTGAGTCGAACAAGTGCGTGGAGTGAATGAACAGTCGTAAAGGGGTGAGCATGTCAGCGAAAGCTGAGCGTGTCCAGAGCAGGGTGGATTCATGGAATTGGTGGAATACATCGAGTCAAATGGCGAGCGGAGGCCTCCGGTTTGAAAGACCATGATCAAGTGCAGTAATGCAGTAAGTGCATCAAGTTCATGAGCGAGCGCGCGCAGTCAGCGCTGTGTGTGAATGACTGTGCGCAGTGGAAGAAAGTGGGTGAGTGCGCGAGCAGAGTGGAGAGAGTGGTGTGAATGAGTGAGTCAGCGAGTGAGAATATCGTGAGTGAAAAAGGACCCGAGTGGGCAAATGATACACTAATGAGCTGAGGAAGGGCGTGAGTGTATAAGCGACTGCCTCAGTGATTGAATGCAGTGAGTCTGTGTGAATGTGTGGATCGGTGATAGAGTGAGCTGGGTGAGTAAATGACTGAGCGTGGGATTTTCGTCTGCGCGCGAGTGACTGGAGTGATGAGAGTGAGCGGAGCTCCCACGTCCATCCATGGGCAGCTCACATACAACAGCAGCATGTTCCATCCCCTAGTCACAATGGATTGATACTCCTAACGCGTCCCCACCCCTCTCCCCCACCCTCAGGACCTCGATTGCATTATGAAGTATCATACGCTGAGCGTATCCTAGCATAATTTGTAAGACTGAGACTCCCTGCCAGGGTGCACGATGGCATGCCGGGTCAAGCAGCATGAATACGGAAACGTCCATCCTTCGGCGGTCGGAGGTGGACAGGGTGGCGATCCCGACATGATGTACGCCTGGTAAGTGGTGTAGATACTGAGGCCCAAGAGAAGCATGAAGCCCAGAGCCAAGATGATTTCCGTCAGCTGCAGCAGCCGGGCTGGAGAAGATCGGTGACGGTCCAGTTGCAGGTACCAACACCCAGCTAAGGAGCTTAAGTGGAAAGGCAAGGGTTCAAGTTCAAATGGCAGCTTGGCAATGCATGGATTGCCGGTAAACGAGTCTTCGGGCTGGCACAAGAACCAGGTCTCATGAAAGGCCTCCCTGACAGAGGGTACTAAGAGCACCTCCCACATTGAGTCGGCCTTGGCGGGGTCTACTGGGAACATGTGCAGTTCAACAGCTGGCACGTGCTCTTCCTCCCCTGGGATTCCCAAGACGGCCTGTTTGGCAGTCTGCATTGACGGTTTGTGCCGCGCTGCATCTTGCAATATGGTTCGGATCTGTTTCACACGGAAGCGTTGGGCGAGCTGTGCTCGCTTGGCGTCGATGGACTTCTTCACCTGGGCCACGGTGCCAGTCTACAGTAAGGATTAGGGTTGAGCGCGCCATTCCTCCGAACATTTTGGAATGAAACCCCTAAACTAAGAGAACCACTGCGGATTGCCAGTCTTCAGGCCTGCCTGATCCTCATGTCTTCTGGAGCAAAGGCAGGGGGGTTATTTTTAAGAGTTTAGGATCTGGGACGCTGGAAGAAACAACTCCACGTTCCAACCCCAAGCCTTGCCTTCAGGAGCTTCAACCCCTCCAAGGGCGCGTCGCAAGCCGCCGTCCTGGAAATGAAGAGCTCCCGGGATCGCAGGTAGGTGAAATTCGGTGCAGGGAACACCAAGGATCGTATATCGAGGCGGCTCCTCAGCTTGGAGGCCCCGAAAGGCTTCGATCCATTCGGACATCAGGGGTTTGGGGGTTTGGGGTTTAAAGTTTAAGGCTTTGTGAATATGTGGAGCCGAACAAAGCAAAGCTTCGGGGTTGCAGTCACTGAACATGCTGCGTCGTCTCTGGCAATGGACAGCATGTCTTTGGTTTTGACATCACGTACCGCATCGCACGCTGCCAGGAGAAGCAGCGCGCAAGGAATGAACATGGCAGATCTACAGAAATCTTTTCATCCTCGAGACGGACACTCGAACATCCGGCCATGTAAACAGTCAAACATGTACTTTGCACTACCTCCACGGGGCACGATGTCGGGCTGCCAGCGTTGCAAACATCCGTCCTTGTCCTCAAGTGTTGCTAGGTGAGAAGGCCGGGATTGCTTTGATCGCCATGCCGATCTCTCGGATCAGTGTTCATGCCAGGCATCAAGCGTTCATGCTGTCTGACTGGCCCTAGACCCTGAATCCCTAAACGCTAAGCCCTAAAACCCCAATGCCCTAAATCCATGTATGCCCGGAAGCATCTGAAAGTGGCCTCTAGCTGGCCTACTTCCGCGCTCAGTCATCCCCACCGCGCTGCCGCGGCTCTAAGCCTCGTCACGGGAGTTGTGATCTCATCGCCCTGATGCCCCTGTTTTGATGTTATGAAGGATTGTAGGGTTTTGAGCTTAGGGTCTTTCGGGTTTAGCGAGGGCTTTGGGTTTCAGGATTCTTAGGGCCTTGGAGTCTTGGGTTTTATGGTTTAAGGGCTTCGGATGTTCATGTTGGCCTGCAGCCTTCGGTTATGCCGTTCTCAGTTCTCGACACAGATGACTCATCAGCACGCTGTTTCCGCTTTCGTGCAGCACTTCCTGGAAAGTGGAAGTTCGGGTCATGATTGCATCTAGAAAATTGTATAGAAGAACTGAAGAACTGCTTCCATTGCTTGTCGGATGCGAATTTTTTCGAATCTCTTTCACGCTGGCGCCTGTACCACGTCCGGAACGCAGACGAAAAGTCGAGCGGCGCCGTTGCACCTGGCAAGCAGGAAGTCACAACTCACTCCCACACCACGAATGCGCGAAGAATCATCCCAAGCCCTCGTTGATAGATGTGGGGATTTATCGAAGTTATGGTTCTTGTGCTGAGGATCCCACCAATGTGTGGGGTGTGTTAAGAGGCCAAGATTCTGTGGATGCCCGTCACTTGAGGCGCTGGCTCGCTCATCTCTTCAAGGCAGCGGGCAGTGCTGTTCACCTCCGCAGCATTCAGATTTAGGGTTTAGTTTAAGGACAAGTTCAACCACGCTGATCAATGGACGTGGGGTCGCCCATCGCATGCAAGGCAGCCACTTCTGTTCGAATGCCGCGGCAGCCCGTGCTTGAGCGCAACGGCTGAGGTATCGGCGTCGATGGGTGGTTCTCAAAATCATCCTAAACCCATCGACACCCCTTTCTCGAGTACGTGGACCTGTCATGCGAGACCTAGCTACCTCCCCATCTGAGACATCGGGAAGGTGTTGATTTGCTACACAGCCCGGAGAGCGAGCCCTTGAGGCATCTGGGAAGGCTTCGGATGAGCAAGACGCTTTGGTGCCCAGGAAAGAAAGCATGGAAACCAGAAGCTGGGTTGCACTTGAAAGGAAAAGTCCTGGTATGCTTGAAACAAGTTTTAGACATCCAGGGGTATATGTACACAAGCGCTGGGGCGTGTGCTGGTGGCACTCTCGAAACCGAGAGTTGAAGGAAGGCCCGGGAGGGGCGGGGCGGGGCACGAGGCGGAGGGCCCGCCGCACCCCCCACCCAGAACCCTAGGTGTTAGAAGCATGCCGGGCCCCTAGCAACTTATTGACATTCTGCCTTGGCCTTCTCGAATTCTTGACTTTGAATTAGGTTGCATATGAGTTTGCGAAACATTGTCAGTTCCGAGAGCCAGACCTGAAATCAATCCATAAAGAGAACATCTACTGAGCGCGGTTACTTTTGCCCTATCGCGCAATGTATGCTTGCGTCATGCTGGCCCTGCCAACAAAGACATGCACAAAGGCACGTGAGTCATCTAGCCGCGAGCTTGAACAGCACCACCTGGGTTGCATCCAAGAAGTCGTTCTGCACATCCTTGTCATATTGTGAAGCCTCTGCACACGACGCCTTTACCAAGTGGCACGTTCCACTATGCCACGATGCCGACCGCATGCCCTGGTTTTCCTTCAACTTCGACAGGCACTTCTCGGGAGAAGTCTGCTCGATCTTGTCGATCTCAGTCTCACAGTCCACCTCGCTCAACATGTGGTGCTGTCCGCTCGCCATGTAGTTCCACTCTCCTGCCTCTTTCTCTTTGCAGAGTTTCATATGCAAATTTTTGTCTTGTTCTGGGCATCCCTTGTGCAGGTCACTGCATTTGCTGACGCCACTCTTCTCTTTGTCGCGCAACTTCGCTGTTTGCAGGAGCGAGGACTCCTGAAAGTCCTGGGAGACGAGCTGGGCAGCTTGTGGCGGGTCGCGCTCCTGCAACTTCTCCCGCTCCGCTTCCGGCTTGACACTGTTGCACATGACCTCTCGGCTTGACTTCCGCAGGATGGTGTCTTCGGAGCAGCATCTTTCGTTCCAACCATCCTGCTCCTCCTGAGTTAGAAAGGGCCAGTACCGGCAAGTCTGCATCTTGCCATCCCAGCCGCAGGACTTGGCACAGCAGCCAAGAATCTCTGCTTCGACCTTGCTTACCACGCGACTTGAACAAAGTTTGGGAATGGAAGCTCCGCTCACTGCAACCGATGATGCGATGTTGTTAGTCACGAGCTTCATTAAGCCAACAAGCTCGTGGCACTCGTCATGGCACACTGACTTCAGAAGAACTCGCCAAGACTCTGCCGTCTGATGCCCCATGACCTGCACAACTCGTGTTTCCTCCGTGGGAACTGGTGTCTGAGCTTGCTCCTGATTGACAAGCTCTCTGTCCGCTGTCTCTGTGGACACATCGCCTGTGAGAGCTGTCTGGCAAATCTTTTCAACCTCCGGGTGATGAAGCGCTTTCTGCGCATTCTGGTTCAGCCAGTGATGCACGGCGGTAACGGGGAGGTTGCTGTCGAGCCTTTTTTCAGTCATTGTGTACAATCCTGCACAGAACTTCAACGCATCGTTCCTTATGTTGTAGATGCCATACTGGCGGGACTCTTCACGAGACTCCATGGCCGTGACGCACCTGCCTGAGATTGGGTCACCAAACATGCTTAAACGCAGTTCAAAGGCACACTGACAGCCCTTGCCACGACTAAGCGGCTAAGGCTGCGGCAACCGGGCAATGAAATCGTGACTTCCGCCCAATTGTAGTTCTTCTGCCCGCTCCAACGCCCACACTTTCGGTTCAAGTGAGTGTCGCACATGCACTGCCTGTCGTCCAGGCGATAGGTTCCCTGCAACGGGCAGCTGTTTTGAAGCATGCTCCAGCCGGGCTCAGCCATCTCTGGCCGAAGGCTCTGAGAGACCGGAATGAGCACCATACAGATCCTTGACGAGGGCACGAGCAAGGCATGGCTACACAAACAAGCTACATTAGCTTCCCTGTCATAGGCTTTACAGTAATGGAGATCAGAACTGGTGCAAGAAAAACCGCAAAACTGCTTTTACCAACGAGTAATAAGAGTAACTGCCTTTCAGACAGAGGCTCCTTGTCTGCGTAAAGTTCAACTACCTACAAGAACTTCTCAGCACAAACCTCCGCGCGAAACAACTTCACAAGACTAGGCTTCAAGGGCAAGCTCAGTGCAACTATAGTGGACCAAGACTGCCTTGAGATGAGCTTGCCCAGCTTCCTTTGCTAAGCAATATCTATACCACGCTCTCCTGTCATGGCCCTGCAATTGTTCTTACTCACAAGCCTGCCAAGCTTCGAGAGTTTGGTCGACAACATGATTCTGGATGCTAGGACCTGCAACGCCTGCAGGCCAGGGAAAAGGCTTAGTCTTGAGCCAGGGAACGGCTGCAGAAGCACATCCAGAACGTGTGCCAGTCCGGCCCCTACCCTCGCCGTCGGCACAAATGCAATCTCAACAGTCGCTGGAGCGTGCTCCCAACTCTCCCTCCGCCACATACAACTTTTGGGCCGTTTGACAGTTGAATCCGCACAAGTTACTCATTTGAACTCAGTTGCTTGCTTGCCAGACCTTGGCCTCGAGCAGGCCATTGATGCGCTGCCGGTCATCTTCCTGGCACTTTGTGGTGGCCCAGACCGTAGCATTCTTTCGACCCATCGTCGATGACGAATCAGCACCCAAGTCCAACAGCTTTCCCACCACCTGATCCCAGCATAGCAGAGCAGCAAACGGGAGAAGCTCTGAGGCTTTGCCATCTTTGAGGCTCATGCCGTGCGATGTGAGCAGCGGTAACAAAGCCAGGGTGAATCGGGTGTATGATTCCGGAATGTTGCCGCCATTGCCGCTGCGCTCGCTGCTCCAGTAGTTACGCAGAGCCGCGGCCACATGCTGGCCTCACAGTTGGCACAGGCACGGGCATGAAAAGAACTCAGTAGACCGATACAGGACAATCTGGTGAATTTGAGACTGCACGCGCTTCCCCTGAACAACTAATTAGCTGTAAAGAGGCGGCACATGCAAGGTATCAAGCCCATACGGAATGACAAGGGCGCATTTGTCAGGAGTGTTTCGCGCAAGGCCACCAGGTGGATCCACCCCTCCCGACCACCCCACAAACCTGGAGCTGCAACTCAGGGCACGCATGTCGTTCATGCTTCGCACCAGCGATGCTTCGCACATTTCGCATGTTGTACACCGGCACATGAAATCTCTGGAGTAGAGGTTGAGAACGCTCGATGGCAAGTAACACGT